TGGTCAATTTTCGTAAAGAAAATTCAGTGTCAGATTTTGGCCATAAAAATGTTACTGTAACTAAATATGTATAAATATTAAATGCATAAATTATATATATAAAGATGAGTAAATCGTATGTAAGTTTTCCACCCCAAATACTTATTTTCTGACCTGTTTGTGGCTTTAGATGCAGCTCCTTGGTGTGTTAGTGTTTTTATTACTGCATCTGACCCTATGCAAGGCTTCAAAACAATTTCAGAAATGTAAATGAGTCCTTTGTTAGAACCTAGAATAGAAAATTTCCCTAAGGGCTAAAGTGTGGTTTTTTGTTTTTGGTTTTTGTTTTTTTTTTTATAAGGTACTGCTATACAGTTTTAACTATAACTCCATGTAGTAGAACTCTTGGCACTATTCCAGTTTTCTCTAATGACAGCATACAATATTTTTTCAATTGGAAATTGCTCAAAATCATGATGATTTCTGTTAGCTTGTCTGAAATGAGACAAAAGGCTTATTTTGCATTGGCCACAAAACAGATGTTGATAATGTTTGGCTACCACCGGTCTTGTCTGGACTTCAAACAGATGACCTGGAAGTGAAAGGTCTTATATCTCATTAATAATAATACAAGCTGTCAAATCCTCATGACCCAGAGTGTTCCTTAGCACAGGGCAGTAAGTAAAATACACTCAGCACACCACTGAGAAGTCTGGATAGAGGCCTTGTAACATTCAGTCCTCAAGCCAATGTGGACTAGCTACCCATGCTGGCTTGGATGGAAGATCAGGTCTTGTTTTGCAGTAGCTGCTTTCTAGAAATATTTCTACACTGAAGTTCAGAGTTGCTAAAAGTTAGGGCAGTGCTGGGATGCTGCGTCTTACTCAAACCTTTCTGGCGCATTTGCATTGTGGGGCGTTTCCTTCCACCTAGAGACAGACGCCCGAGAAGGGAAAATTCTTTAGTGAAGATTAAGATATGCTAGGACTAAGATGCATTAAAGGCAGTTAGCAGCTTTCCTTGAGTTTATTTTTCTGAGTTGCTCAATCTCCTCATATAATGGAGCAAATAATATGTATTTATTCTTGCAAGACTGTTGTGAGGCTGTAATTCACCATGGTTTGTGAAGACGTCAGATTCTGAATTGATTATGCCCATGCAAGTAACCAGACAGATGCCTGCCAAAGCCTTTTTGTCTTCCTAAAATAACCCAAAGCTTCATATCCTTCTACCTATTTCCCTTTTTCTCTCTAGAAATTACTCTTTAGAGAGTAACAAAGGACTTCATCAGGGATACTTTGCTTGGCTGGGGCCTATTTGCTGTTGCCACCAGCCAAATGACAAAACAGATGAAACGTGTTCCAGTTACAAAATATGTATATTTCAAAAATGTCATTAAGGCTAAATTCTGCTCTTGGATGTGCACAAACAATTCTGAGTGAGTCGACTGCAACTTTACAACAAAGAGAAGAGAAGGTCTTTCTAAAATGTAAAATTCATAAAAATTGATTAGTTCAATATTCATTCTGTTTTGTTTAAATAACCTATTTTAGTGCAAGACCAGCACTTTAAAAAAAAAAAAAAAAGGTGAAATAACAATTATCTATTACAACATGTCTCACTTTGAGAATGCCAACTTACAGTATCAGAATACATCCATATATTTTTCATGTATTCATTTCATTTCAAGCAGAAGACACATTGTTAGCAAATTTGAATTCTCAGGCTCTTAAGAGAAAAGGTCAGTATTTAAAGGCCTACTGCAGCATTAGAAAATTGAAAAGGAAAATAAGAGTTAGTAATATCAACTCACTACAGTACGTTTGCTTGCATTACCCACAGATTCACTATATATTAGAAAACTATTACAGTTAACTAGGCTATCTCAATCATTAGTTCTAACAGAGATGTGACTTGCCTCTTGAAGTGAATAGTCTGGGAAGTAAAGGAGCTAAAACTGAAACAGAAAAATGTAAAATATTTTAATATGTAAATGCAACATCTTTTGATAACTCATACTGTAGGACAGTTAAAATACGGCTTTAGCTAAAACTTAGAAGTCATAGTTCTAAGACCATAATAACATGGGATCTGATTTTTATATTTTATTAAATTGCTACTTAATATAATGAAATCTGACCAACTGCCATTGCAACATATGGAATACTGATTATATAATAAAAATATTCAGACTATAATTATAAAAAAAAATCTCCATCCCATATGTAATTTATCAAAGTGAACTTAACATTGATTTGGGCCACATGGTTGATGAAAAACTATAAAGAGTCTCTAGAACAAAAGGTTTGTACAGATAACTTTGTATGAACTGTCTCAATCTGTTTCAAACTTTCCCTCTTTTTCATTTTTTACTTCACAAATCAAGATATTGTAGCATATTCTCTTAGTTAAAAGTTTTAGAAAACCTAAGGACTTGTCTTTTTAAAAGGTGCCTTAGTTTAATGGAATAAACAATGTTAAATAGTTTTAGTTAAATGTAGACAATCTTAAATCAATTTAAATCTGGTTTATAATGATTTTGTGTAATTTCTATCCCTTGCTAAGACAATCCAAATAATTGTAAACTGGTTTTAAATTGATTTAAACTTTCAAGTTAAATTGGAGGTACATCTGAATATAGAAATTCCTGTGTGTCACTCTGCTCTGAATAGTAACTAGATATAAATGATGCTATGATTTACCACAATGTGATATAGCTCCAAGATTCCCAGATCACATACACTGAATCTACCTAGCTCTTTAAAATTAGGCAAGAATGTACAGCTTTACTGGGACCCGCTCCTCAGAGATGACAGAGGTTGCTCTACTCTTTTCAGTATAAAACTCACCTTCCTTGACTACTGTTTTTTATTTATTTCAGAAACTGGACTCAAGTTTAATTGCATTTACTGATAACCATGGAAAACAATGTCATAATTGTATGCAAAATCATGCAGTGAAAAAGAGGGTGTGGAGGTATTCAGGTTTTTTTTCACTGATTGGCAAAATTTACAGAAGACATATACAACATCGTGTGTGACTATTACCTCTCAGAATAATTCCAGCTCCAAAAAAGAGCAAGAGTTGAGTAGCAAAGGCTGCAGCTAATCTGATAGTAAAAATGAGGCAATGGAATGTGGGTTCTTTTTGAGAAGTTCACAGGTTTTGGTACACATAAAGCACCGTTACGGCATCGCCTCACCACACTTGGAAGCACCTTGCTTGTCCTGTTAGTGTTGATGGGGAACAGAAAGGCTAATTTCTGACACTTAGGACAAACTTCCTGTCATTATTTAAAAAGTTACTTGGCTTCAGTTTCTATGATTTCTGTTTTTCTAATACTGACTATATCTCCCAGTTTCTACAAGCTGTAAAAGGAAAGGACTAGGATACTGTGCCATGTCCTGAAGGAGCAGAGGAACTCATACATGTAGTGACATTTAGTGAAAAGGTATATGGCACAGAAATACCTAAAGACACACCAAAACAACATTATTATTTTTTTTTTTTCATTTGAAGGAAATGGCAGTGTTGGGGCCCATATAAGAACTTGTCAGCAAAATGTGAGATTTTCCAAAATGGGCAAGAATTTTTCATGTTTACTTTGCATTTCTAATAAATATTTCAATGTAGTTTCTTATTGCAGCCTTTAAACTACAGCTACGGGATGCAGATTTACTTGGAAGTACTGTTCTCAGACATAGGAACTTTGCCAAAGCAGTACAAAGTTTTCCTTCTAAAGGAGAAAGGGACATCGATCAAACGATTCCCCTAATGGTCCTGCTTGTCTTACTGTTTTATTGACTTAAGACAACAGTGTCTCAGCAATAGTTAGCTGCAGATTCAGGAAGCAAGCCGATCGATATATTAACTGTGATAATCATATACTGACAGTTGCTCCCAAATAAAAGCATTTAGTTTCCCCCTCTGCTCTACTTTAGTTTCAAAGCATGAGACTAACTTTCATGTAGGCATTTTTTGCTTTTGTTTGTTTTCTTTCATTTTGTTTTTACTGTCCATTTGTGATCTTTCCTTGCTAAAGATTTTCACTTTGTCATCAGAAGAAAGTGCAGGAGCAAAGAGGTAGCTATTTCAGAAATCCAGTTATACGGGAAAGAAAAAACCCCGAGACATCACAAACCTTCCCCTTAGTGGAGAAGTTTAATAAAGGTATTTTAAAATTATAAAAATGTAATATTGCATCTCACAGTTCTCACATTTTTATCTTGTCTGAGAAAAGAGTGCATTTTCAAGTTTCTACTTGCCTTTCTTTCTAGACTACGTGCCCAGGAAAGGGAGGATTGGCAACAGAAATGTATCAGAAGCTGCTAGAGGATGGATAAAACTGAGCTCTCACTGCATACCTTCACCCAGGGAGAATGGACCAGAAGGGATCTCATGTCTCATTTTTAAAGAGAGTTAATTCCCAGATCATCTGCTAACTAACAAAGTTCATAGATTGGTTATGGTTTCATTCCTTCTTAGATCCTGTTTGCAACAGGCAACTTTTTCCCTCACTGTGACAGATGGGTTGCAATACTGCAGATCCCCCTGAACTCCATCAGCGAGAGAGGCGGGTGCCAGCAGGAGCGCAGGTGTCTCTCCACAAGCTGCGTGGCACATGGGATCAGGTCATGAACCTGCACAACCACACACTGACTCACAAAACCCTGAGTTACAGAGCTAGTCCACCCTTCCATTTTAACTATAAAAGAGAGATGTTCTCACAGTGGTTTTACAGAATTTTCCTCAAGAACTTACAGGCAGTAATAAAAGCACTTGAGGTATTGATATTTCTCACATCTCTGCTGAAAGACTGTGAAATAGGCACATCCTTTATAGTCAGTTCCCCTAGCTGATGGAAGTAGGATGGATTAGTAGAACTATGCTGAAACTAGAACACAAAGAATCTGTATTGTAATTGTATACATAGCTGTAAAGACACCAACCACAAAGGTTAAGAACTAAGTTTAAAGAAGCCATTTGGTTCCTCTCTTAGTTGTAATGAAAAATACAATTACCTGCAAGGTTGTCAATCTCCTTCTCTTGGAGCAGGCTGACAGCATCATCGTCTCCTTCCAGCATAAGCTCTGTTTCTGCATTTTGATTCACCACAGCTTGACTTCGGAAAGTCTTCTTTGACTTCACTACATCCTCTTCAGTGCCTAAAAAAAGTTACAAATGTTGCAAATTTACCTGAATAACATTTCAAATGGAAAACAACCACAGTCAAGTAGTTAGAAGAAAACACAGTATAAAACATCTTTATTCAAAAAAAGAAGGAACATTTTCAAGAAGGTTTAAAAATTTGCAGCCTTATTCTGTCTTTCAGAATACATCTCAAATAAAATACAAACTGTTCCACAAATACTCTTCTGCTTTTAATAATTACTATTTGCTTTTTGCTCAATGTTTTTTCATTAGTTTTCAATTAGCTA